GTTTCTTCACTTCTTTCAGCTTAGTTTCTCGGAAGTCGCTTCTTCAGCACTTCCAGTAGCCCAGCATGCACATGGCAACCTCCAGACTCTTCCCTGCTTGCCTGGCTTCAGCTGTCTCCATCAAGTTCCAACGTGTCACCTTCAGAAGCTCTGGCAAGTCAGATCCCTCTGCTACATTACAGGAGCTGGTCCTCACTGGTAAAGCCATAAGTGACCACTGAATGTGCTCACTGTGTAGTATATAGCCTGTGTCACTTGTTCATCACCCTCTTCTCCCCAGCTTTCCCTTCTCTTGAAGGGCACTGGCACTTGGGTAGAGTAGTTAGTTCCCTTACTACCACACAAGGACAATGGTAAATCAGGACCAGTGGTAAATCAGTCTGACCTTTATAGCAGGGCTGGTCAAATAAAGATGTTTTTAAACATGCACTGAGCAGATATAATCTCCTCGGAGAGACACAACCACTCTGACCCTGGCAGTGCAGGAAGTCACATTTGAAGGTGCATGGAAAACAAAAGAAGATACATTAACTGATTCACAGAGTGATAAATTTGACCTGGAAACAGCCACCAAGATAGACAAAGCTTGACGGCTTTCTTGTTACTGCGACAATGAAATGCTACATGCACAGGTGGGAATTAATTTGCTTCATCATTCAGAAATGCTCACTAGAAACTGGAGCAGCAGGACCTACTTAGCAAGCACTCCCTTTACCTGGATGAGATCTTGGTGATATACTTAAAATTGTTAGGTTTGCCTCAGCTTTGCTACCTCTGTCAGGGTGTTACAGCAGCAGGAGCTGCAGCTGAAACGCTAGTCAGGGAACTGCTGTCTCATGCCACGGGCAAATCCATCTCCCATGAGCGCAGTCTCAGGCTAGAGGCTTACGTGTGGTGCACCCTAAGGACCAAGCAGTGGACTTGTTAGTGTAAGACACAAACTCCTCTGCTTCTCGGAAACAAACTCAGGCTGCTGCACTTGGTATAGAGGTCAGGGTCTATCACTGCTGCTTTCAGCTCCTGATTCACAGCACACTTTGGAAACAAGGAATATAATTTACAGTAGTAAACTTCAACTTGAAGGAAGTCACTTGTCACTGATGCTCATCTGAGCATTCACAGTCAGTGACTCATTTAGCACAGGGAATGTCTGGCTCTCACTATCACTTAAGCTTTGCCCACATCTTAATCACCTGGGCTTCTTTCAAATATGCAGTGGTAGTCCAAGTAAAGATTAAATCCTTCCTTCTATAAAACAGGGGCAATCTCCTTCTTAGGCAAAGGCTAATATTGCTAAAATTAAATGAGTGCTACTTAATACACCGCTCTTAGTCAGCAGGTAGTATCAGCCACTTCCGCTCGAGGCTGCTGGGCCGGAAGGGTTGCGATCAGCAGCACAAGGTCAGTCAGTGTCCCTCAGGGATCAATACTGATCATTAAACAAGTACTGTTAATGCACTTGTTAATGGTCTACCCAACAGCGGGGAGAGCCCACGCAAGCTTAGTGTCCCCTGCAGCCTGGGGGAAGAGGTGCACAAGCTGGAGGGTCAGGCTGCTGCTCGGGACACCCTGAAGAAACGCACAGGCAGGAACCTCATTAAGATCAAAGCAAGCGCAAAACCCAGCATCTGGGATGGAATAACCCCGTGCAGCAGCAAGCTTGGAGCTTGAGGGACAGGAAACAGCTTTGCAGAAAAGGGTCCAGGGCTTCCGGCAGAGGAGGAGTTAGGGATGAGTCGGCAGCGCGTGCCCTTGCAGCAAGGCAGGCTGTAGCACCAGAATTCAAACCTGGGCTGCTACTGAAGCAACAGCAACTAGGGCAATGGATTGTTATTTTAAAGTTTGAAAGAGGAGTCTGAAATACTGTGGGAGAAAAAAAGAACCGACCAAACAACAGTTCCACGAAACTGCAGTAGATTAATTATAACCAGCAAAGAAACTGTTAAGGTGACAGGCAACGCTCTGAGGGAAGCGGAAAGGCCGGACTATGCACACAAGTACTGAAAGCTGCCCAGCCACAGGGCTTGCAAGATGAATGCAGAGGAAAGCTCCACTGGAGGTGCACAGAGCTAAAGCATCTGGAAAGAACAACCAAACAAGAAGCCTTTGTGATAAATAGCAACTTCATGAAAATATGCGGGAAAAAAAAATAAGGCAAAGGGATACTCTGCAAGAAAATTTTTGGTGTATGTTCTGCTAATAAGTAATTATGTCTTGCTATCAAAAGAAGGACAGTTCAAATACTTTGAGACATTGTTTTGATATTAGTTTAATGGTTCACAATTGCTAATCACCCCATTACTAACAAACAGATGATAATTCTTTCTTTTGCTGGACAACAGAGGTTATCTGCTGTGACTGTAAGAGTTAACAACCACCAAACAAACTAAAAAATATCCATGCTTTGGGATTTAAAACAATGCTAAAATTAATTCTGGAAAACACTCTTCTCACTCCCCAAATTTCCAGTAAGTGAAAAAAACAAAATTTGAAGGTGCTCTGTAGGAAAGATACTGGGCAACAGTCACAGCTTTAGGCACCAAATTCTCAAAAGCCACAGAAAGAAGAATAGGTGCTGAAACAGATCCTAGTACGAAAAAGACTCTGGGCAATTAACAGCACTTCATAAAGCAGCCTCATATCCCCATCTCAAAGGTGACCCTGGCTCCTCATACAGCAGCTAACAGTGAGAACAGTGAGACCCAGAACTTGGGTCAGTTTCCAAGCAGGGAACTGATCAATTCCCTTTGACTACCTGGGAAAAAGGAAGCTAACTTGCTCCATAGGCATCATTTTATCACCTTAACTAGAGTCTGACAGCTCAACACAGGAGAGACAGGAATACCCTCACTGGAAGGGTATGTAACCAGCGTGCCGCAGACGCGCCGGCCCGCACACCAGCCAACCCACACCATGAAAAGTCGCTGCTTATAGTGAGAGCTCCTTTTTGCTCATCGGATTTTCAAGCCATTGTAGCTAATTAGAAAACATATTTTCGAGTCACAGCTGCTTTTCATGCAAAAACCGGCCGTTCACGCAGATGTGATGATACATAAAGCAGGATGCTGTTCATGGGCTCTCACCCCTCCTGCACCACTCCGGGTGGGGAGAGAGGGCCCTGGACACGCTTCCCTCATTAGTTTGCCCTTAGCTAGCCCGGGAGCGCCGGGTCCCGAAGGAGAGCGGCCCTAAGGGCCGGGCACAGCGCTCGACACCCGTAACGCGGCGGGGCTCGCCTCGCCCCGCGTCACCTTCCCCCGGCTGCGGGCTCGCACACCACGGAAGGGGCACAAATAAAGCAAAACCAACCAAACAAACAAAAGGGGGC